CAACAAAATCGAGAGTCAAATAAGCAGTTGACGTATTTCATAGCCTCTCCTTTCTTTGGAGCATTGCTCCCGGCGCTACCTTTTGTCAAACTCCTGCTTCAGTCCTTATGACGGAATCGGTGCTGTAAGTAAAGCACCCACGAATCAAACCTGCCAGTCGTCGAATTTCCATGCAACTGAGGAGATACTTGACCACGGTGTCACTTATCCCGTGTGGCATTCGTACTGGGTTTGAAGTTTTGTCCTGTACGGAAAATATATCGGGGTTGAGGGAATGTGCTGTCCATCACTCGTGTCAATGCCTAGCTGTTGGTACACTGGCTGAAAAACTGAGTCATATAACAAAAAATAAGAGGATTTAGCATGGTTTTGTGGGGGTTTGGGTTTTGCGTCAATTCCTTGCCACTTTGTTCTCACATGAGAGCTGCTTACCTCTATTTAGGTTCTATCCAGCTCCTAGAGAGGGGGAGGAGGCGGTACCGCTTATTCACGCAAATGATGCCTTCGCAGCTAGTGTAGCTTCTGCTATTAATAGCTTTCCAGCAGAACAAGGGACTGAGGTGGATGCCTAAGATAGACGTCATTTTCGATCCTTCTGTATAATTTGTCACGGATTCTCTCATTTGCAGCATATACTCTTCTTCCGTCACGCTAAGGTTTATCACCCAGCTGTAGAAATCGGGGTAGTCGTCCTTTAGATTGGGGTTTACTTTCTCCTGCCGCCAAGTTAGTGCCTCAAGACTTCTTCTACTGTTGTCGAAGAACAGTAGAGCATGGAGCTAATGGCATGGCCTAGAGGCCAACCCACTTGACGCAGGTGCAATGGCGGAGCCCCTTTGGTGGCCTGTTACCAAAACCGAGAGTTAAACAAACAATCAACTTATTGCAGTAGAATAAATCCAATATATTTTTGAGAAAATATCCACTAATCTTCAGGCACGTTATAGCGTAATTAATGGGGATTGTCATTTTGGATTTGTTTGACGAACTGACAGTTGAAGAATACTTTTAGAAAATTCATTTTTTATTTCAGAAAATGTTTTTTTTTTTCGAGGAATGAGATTTACAAATATTTAGGAAATGCCGTCGATCAATTTTCAATTGAATTACGCCAATCAGATTATCGACTGACTTTTTGGCGAAAAAAATCAATACCCGTCAGCTGATTACCGAGCCAGATTAGTGGGTATCGATGAGCAGTCAGGTGATCATCAGCTGATTGTGAGTAAACTTGACGCACTTATTCACCTCGTGAAAGCTACGTTTTCTTTTAAATTAACCGGACCCTTTTTTGTGGGGAGGCAAAAAGCGGCTGTAGGCAGAGCAGTACACACTATTTACGCATCCTCATGACAGTGATAATAGTGGGCGAAGGGTGGTAGCACGAGAAAAGGGAAGAAAAAAACGCTCTTCTGAGCCTGCCCTGAAGGGAGGGCCTAGCGAATGGGCGAACGCGTTTACTACCCCGCCGCGCTTGTTTACCACCGCTTTGGTTAGGCCTTTTTTGCGCTTCAAGGTCGTTTGAAAACGCTTCAAGGCCATTTCTTCTTCGCTCTCTCTCACTTCCTACTTGTTTGTGCACCAACGCATTTGGGCGGAATTTTTTTACTAACTGCAGTCTGTTTACTCCCTACCTTTTATCCATCACTCTGTCCGTTCGCCTGCTTGCCTTCACGTCTGCCTTCCTGTTTGTTTGTTTGCCCCTCTCCGTCTGTTTGACTGACTTTTTGAACTAGTCCAAGGCCACATGAGTCACTTGGACAGACTTTTTCGCATTTTCAGTTTAGGGGAGTTAAACAAGCTGGTAAACAACTCCTGATAAGAGGGATTATTCAGTGTTGGATTGGGCGAGCCGTTTAGGTATGAAGTATGGCTGTATTCTCATAAGGGAGACGAAGTGAGGATGAGGTTGGGAGGCGGACACATCCGTTTGACTCGTGTCCATCTCGAATCCTCAAACCCGCTTCCAACGGTGGTTGCGTCTATCCATCGCCTTCAGTCCGTGCTTGGTCTCTGCTCATATCTGGCGCTCACGTGAATAAAATTGGCTGCTGGGGCATTTTATTCTCAAACGTTCCCTGTTACGTGAAATAAAACCAAATTTCATCGGCCCTTGGAGTTTTTTTGTCTTAAAAATTGTAGAGTAGTATTGCTGATCCTATTAGACATCTCGAAATAAGCGTTTAATGATACTTTTGTTTTAGACATGCTGATGAAGCTCACGATTTGACTCCCGAGACCCTGGCTCAATTAGAAATGCGGATTTTTGAGCTTGAGATGGCCTACAAAAAGGTAGTTTTAAACTTGAGATCATGTCAACTCATGCCGCTTAGGTCGGACTTACTTTTTGGTTTTCCCATTTAGTACACAGCCGAATCGCATCTCGTGCGTAGTATGATGGATCACCTTTCTCGAAGATCGAAATTTTTGGATCACCAAAGACAGAAAGTTGCCTCCCAACCAATCTCACACCCTCCTCCGCCTCCCCCTCCACCTCCTGTTCTCCATCCCGTCACTGGTGAAACAGCGTTTCAACCGGCGTCTGTAAAAGGTTTGCCCGTTCATTCGATTTGATGAAACACCGTCCCTTGGAGCATAAACTCATACCAAAATGTTATTTTACAGTTCGGTCGAGCCACCAAGAGGAATTGTGTGATCCGATGACTCGAACGCTGGCCTTTTTGCAGTACATAAACGAGAATGGAGGACCAATAATGATGCCGCCGAGTAGTAGAGATCAAGCTCTCCTGCTGAACAATCTCCTTCTCTCCCGAGAGAATGGATCCAGGGTGACAGAAACGATGGACAATGGAGCGCCTCGTAAAATGTCCCCATCCGTGGGCGGTGGAATTAAAGACGGTACGCTAACTAACGTCTTTCAAACGAGGCTTTTCGGTTTGCAGAGGTAGTAGAATGACAAAATTTTGGGGTACAAACGGAGTCTATTTATTTCCAATATAGTAACCTCCAAAAGGTTCCATATTTAGGTCAATTTTACTCCTTTTATTTCATTTTTGTAGATCATTTCAACAATAGCACCAACAGTGACAATGGCATCGGTGCTGGTTCACCAATCGTCAAGATGGAAGATTCCACCCCTGCTAACGACTTAACACCACCTCCACCACCACCGCAACCGTCATCAACAACGTCTGCTGTGCCGACGTCAACACAGTCGAAACGAGAGTCTCAGAGTCTCACTGAGGAATGTTCTCTGAGCCAACGGCATTTCTACCGCACTCAATGCATCCGTCCTCGCTTCACGTATGCCTCACTCATTCGACAGGCCATCTGCGAGTCACCAAATAAATGCCTCTCGTTGAGCGAAATTTATGCCTGGTTGCAGAAGGAATTTCTCTACTTTCGACAGAACGAAGCCACGTGGAAGGTGAGTGAGGTTGTTGGACTCACTTATCATCTACTGTTAGGGAATTAAGTAGACCTGGTTTTAGAATCAACAAAGGTTGTGATCCAACCCGGCGTCAGCCTATCTGGTTGCCTTTACGGCGCAATTGGCGGGGTGCACGATGGTATGGACTCGTCCACAGGCGCTGTAATCAAAGTTTAACACTCAATAAGTTCTTGGGGTGGTGATGCTAGCAGACACGAATACAAAAGCACAAGTGGGAATTTATCTATTGAACAAAAACTTTTAGAAGGCTTAAAGGAGAAGGGTTTTCTGGAATTCTTGATATCTATACGTATCATTGGTTATCCTTACAAAACTAAGCCTACATCATATGTGTGTGGAGGGGGGCTATGTATGGTGGGTTGGCCTGAAGTACGCACGTCTTGGTGTCCCTTCCTAGCTTCCTGCGAAATCGGAGGGAAGTAGCCAGCAAGGCGCGTTGAATGTCTTCGCGCTTCATAGCAGCGGAACTTGTAATAGCACGAATTTTCACCCTCCCTAAACTCCAAGAGGAGAGTTTAAGTCAAACTAGGACTCCCGAAACATCAGTATTGTTCGGTGAGTTCGTCGTGCTATGTCACCGCGACCGGATATGATTCGGTCAGGTGATCAGGAGCAGGAGTTTCATGAGAACGCAAGAAATCTCGTTCAGTAACACTATCACTACTGTCTTGATTAGCGGTGTCTGGACTGGACTGGCTCACTAGGCGTATGTCAGCCAACTATTACGACAAAGAAGAGGACAAACACACCTTTTTCTTGCCGCTGCCTGAAGTATCATCTCATTTTGTCCAAGGATGTTCTCTTTAACCTTTAATTTTTATTCGCTTGCACTGTAGAATGCCATCCGACATAATCTCTCGTTGCACAAGTGCTTTCGGCGTGTTGAAACCGCGGGTGGATCAGTGTGGGTCTTCGACGAGCATGAGTGTCTTCAGCGCAAAGATGGCAGACCACCTTTGTAAGTGGATGTAAACCATCCATTTCGTCTCAATCCTATATCCATCCATCCTGTATCCATTCATCCATCCAGTTGCCACAATGTTTTGCATTCGTGGATTCCGGTTGCTTTCGCTCATAAACCTGTACTACGTTCAATTCTTCTTATAGCGGAGGTCGTGTTTTGGGTCGTAATTATGCCAATCGTCTGAAATGCAACTCAAATACTTCTCCCCTCTCCACCTCGTCGGTATCATCATCAGCAACAGCTCGCAGTCGACGTTTTCCAACAGCTGAAAACCAACAATTTCACAACCTTCTGCATCCACAGCCACCGCCGTCAGTAGCTGTGGGAACGGCTTCGGCAACGACGTCATTCAATGAGTGTACTCTCTCAGCTCGTAGCTCAGCTTCCACACCGGTGGTGATGATGCCTCTCGTCAACCCCTCATCCACCAATTCCATCAGCGTTGCCACATCGACGAATAACATGGCTGCATCATCTCCAACTGTGATGTGTGAAGACGAGGTTGATGTGGAAAATCATTCGTGAGTTGTCCAAAAATCTTTTTCAATTAAATTGACTTCTGTCGAAGGTGTTTTATAAGCAATACAATTTTTTATCTGGTCTTGTCCAGCATTCAGATGGATACCAGTGAACTTTATGCTGCAGGCGGTTCAACGTCTCCGAACCTCACCGGTGGTGTGCCAACCCTTCTGCCTCCAAAAAATATGGCGGCCTAGTTGGAAAGAGGCCAGTAGTCCAATTTTGACTCTGTAAATTCTCTCAGCGCCATAATGTGCGGGACAGACCAAAGTGAAGCAAACCAAATTTTAATCCTTTTCAAAAACCAACTCTCCTATTGTAAAAAAAAGGTGAACAAAGGTGTACGTATGTGTTGACGGTGTATTTTCACAATAAATGGCTCTTTGTACGTATTACGAGGAGTGGGGTCCAGTTCCTTGTTTTTTTTTTTATAAAAAAATAAAGTGGTAGAGGAGCTCACGAGTTAGGCGGTGACTTGTCTTTATTTCGGCAGCCGAGAAAGGCGCTTAAGTTTCTAGAATTGTCAAAGAGGGGGGCTGGTGAAGTCGGTTCGTTGGACCAGTTGGCGGGAGGGGGGCGCGGCCATGGCAAAGTTAGGGGAGAAATTCTTACACTAAATTGTTTATGGTATTTTCCTTCTGTTGTTTGAGTTGATTGTGGTAGAATGAGTACAATTTGCCTTGTGGTACATGTATCGATGCCTGTGTTCCTGCTCACTCGACCACACAAATGGCAAAGTAAACATATGGAAATTACTACAGATGTCCAGCCTTTTGAAACGCAAAAACAAACCTGAGTTTAAATGCCTTAGTGCAACTTCGGAGAAGCCTCAGGGAAATATGCTTAACTGGTATGCATAAAAATATGGAAAGTTGGGTGCAAAATGTGACTAACGAAGTGAACCAGAAACTTTATTTGTAAAGAAATAAAAATAGTACCTTTAAAGATGGTTTATATGTACTTATTATCTAAGCCAAAATGACAGATGGTGGGGCAAATATGTCATCCTTGAAGTTACTTAATGCCAAAAATTGTATAAATTTTACCTATCAATAAATCAAACAAAAAGCAATGTTTTCCTTATAAAATGTCAAAAGAGACAAATTCTAGGTCATCGTATACACTTTTTTGTTTTTCTAGATTTTTTTGTGTTGCAACAATTTAAGGTGCTGTGTTTAAGCCAATCGTTTTTCGAATCCGCCCTTATCATGGATTGTGATGAGACGTTCGTCGCCGAAGATATTCCGGTGTATGTTACAGCCGTTTCATTCTTTGGCCTTGGAAAAACGAATGTTGATTTTCTCAAAAAGCAGGTTTGCTAACTTATTCCCTTTATTCCCTTTAGCTCTATCCTCTAGTCAAATCCAAGAACATGCGTGAGCTGCTAGAAAACTCGAGTGACCTCAAATCGCTGCTGCTGGGCTTGCAAATTTTTAAGTTTTGCGAAATTTCGATTGATACGGAGAAACAGGTTGCTCGTCCGGATGCGTATAAGGTATCTTTTGCCTCGTTGTTGAATGGTTCCGCTTAGGTAAATATTTTTGTTGAAGAAAAAAGGCCCCAAAACTTAAAAGCCCAGTGGACCGTTAACACCGACGGTTCGATGCGAATGGGCGGATATTACGCTTTGAATAATATTTTTCGAAGAGGCGAACGCTTTGAGATTGAAGGTAGTGTAGGAAGTAATGCATCGAAAATGAGGTGGGTGGTTCTGGAGGCACAATAGAACATTCACCGTCTTTCAGATTTGCTACTTTCACTAAGCCCTTTGAGAGGAACCCCAACATTAAGCTTAGCTTTGGGGGTTCTGACTGCACTTATGATCACTGGTGGTCAAAGATTCTGCGTAACGAAAGCTCCATTTTTGCTGAACTTGGTGCTTTCTCTCGATGGGGCATTCAAAAGCTTCATTGGAGCAATATCTGGAGAGAAATTGAGGCCTCCAGTAGGTTTAATTCCTTACGTCTTTTGAAATTATATAATGACTTAGGCGTTCTGTTAGTTATTGAGGTAGTAATCTGCTGGTCTGCCGTTGTTTGCCTGCTATTATGAGAATAGGGTTGATGGTGGTTATCAAATGTCCTGTCTCAAAAACCCTCTTACAAGTGACCCGTCTTTCTTCGCAAAAATCGTAGGTCCGACAACACCGTTCAACTTAAGGCTAGAAAGTGGCGTTAGTTTGAAAACCAATCTACGTCACAGCTTAGAAGTGGACTCTCGAGATGATCGTATATTTCCACAGAGTGGTATCCTGCTCCGTTTGAGTGAAGAGTTGGCTTTTTTGAATCCCCCACCACCACGAGTTGCTGTGGGACTTGAAACGGCAGCTCCGTAAGTACGCATTCCTTTGGGATTTAAAGAATTTTGATTCAATTATGCTGCTTTTATGCACAATGGTGTTTCAGGTCGTACCAGTTTATTACATGTGCAGATAAGATATTTACTAATTAGTAAGACAGCTTCTCACACCACTTTCTATTCTTCTCATGCACCGAATTGACTTTGAAGGCCTCAGAATTGGTAGCGAGTGGAAGGGCTGATAGGGCGAAGTCTTTGGTGCCTGGTAGGTCTGCACTCCTACTACTACTGGGCTGTAACATTCTCCTTATTTCTTGTCAGTGGGAAGATCAGTACCAATAAGGCCTGGGAAGACCCACTAAGACAACTATCGTCAAGTAATAATCCTCCACTCAGTCTTTTGTCTTACCTACTGAATGAGTTCCAGAGGCACACATGTCCGCGTACTTTTCATTCTCACTTAGATCGGACATGAAGAAATCGGTGCAGCTGCGTTTGGAGGGCGTTCTGCAAAAGCCTCTTCGTCTAACCGACTGGTTGGTTGCTGAGGCAACTTTTTCTGCAGGATTGGTACATTCCCTCAGTGGCCATCCGGTGAGCAATGCCTTATTGAAGAATACAACCTCTAAAAAGTTTATAGCCTAGGGTCGCGCCCATATGAATGCCTAACTTCCCTGCTCGTATGTGGAATTATAGGTATACGAAAAGGGTTCATGGGTTTCGCCAAATCGTGTGACGAAGCAGTTGGAGTAATTTTACAGCAACTAATAGGATATGAAATTTTTTTCGGTGTGAAAAGGTAAAACGTTACTTGGGACTTGTCTTTCGCGGACTGCGGTTGGTGGTCGGTAGTTGATGTCGTTTCTGGCAGAATGCAAAGCCGAGAGTGCAGGTTTTGTTTTTAATGCACCACGATTTCATCGACAGTTAGACCTTACCATGCAGGTATTATGACACGCTCCAGGGCATTTGGTCAACCAAGAGACTGCTGAACGTTGATTCATAGTTGATCACCTGAACGGTGGATGTTGATCAATACGACCTTGAAGAAGACAGCAATCCATCTGTCCGTCCATCCATCCATCTTAGTTCGATTGAAGAATCATTAATCAAATTTGCAGAAGTATTGTTTGTGAGTCTTCTAATGTGGGTGGAAAATTATCGTAAATGGGGGCCACCAGTCAGAAGTGGGCATTGACACCGGGATGATGGCTCATCGGATTGGGGATGGATGGATTAATGCAGCCATCACCTTCTTTCTTCCCCTTTTATCTTTCTTCCAATGAAATAGCTGCTCTCAGCTCATCATTAACATTGCCTCGACATGGTTTTCTGTTGAGACTGCCCTATAGTTGTTAATTAAATGCTGAAATAATGTGCTGCTCTTTTAATTTTTGAGTTCTAAAAAATTTTGCTTTGAAATGCTTATTCCTTTATGTGCTCAGGTTTCAGTTGTGGATCGGTTTTTCCTCGGAGGTCCTATGGAATTACGCGGCTACAAATTTTACAGTGTAGGCCCGGGTGAGCCCCAGTTGCTGCCTCCAGCTCTGAACCACGGCAGTATGGAAGAGTCTGGCTTGGCCTCGGAAAGCCATAGTTGTCCCACTGGCGCTTTGGCTTCCTGCTTTGCTGGCCTTCACCTCTACACCCCCCTTCCTTTCATCAACTCAAGCACGGCCGCCTCTTTCGCGAGACTTCATGCTTTCACTTTGACAGGTGAGCTAGGGATGAATTCCACAGTGCACTCTGTTTTAACATTGGAATTCATTCTATGGCGACGTATACTTGGAGATGGGTTACTTGGCCGGCAGGATTGACATGAGGGAAGTTGGATGGTGATTGAATTGAACAGAGGGAGTAGTCTTCTGGATAACTCCCTCCTTCCTCCTGCCTCTGTGTCGGCAGTATCACAAAGAAGTCGGTGCTTCTGAAATAGAAAGGAGAATTACAAGAGGGCGGGTTTCCACTGGGAAGAGAATCCATCGCCATTATTTACTGGCTTTGTGTTGCTTGGATTTGATGGATGTTCTACGGTGAGTGTACACAATGAGTACTTGATTGTGAATGCGTAGATGGGGTCGATAGACGCCTAAGCAGATGGGGGAAGTACATGAATTCGTAGTTTGTACCTAGATAGGTAGTGGAGCGTGTGTGGATGGGTGGATATGGGATTGATGAGTAGTGGAGGGGTCGAGGATGAGAACTCATATCGAACAATGAATGGAAGATCGGTCAGAGGGATAGACTGAAGTGTTCGGTGAGCAAACAACTCTTTCAAGTCCCACGAGCTTTAGGAAGCACGATTGAGTAGGCGTCGCTCTGCTATTTATAGCTAAAAAGAAGGCTTTGTTTTTCCCTCCCTCTAAACTCAAGGCTGTCTCCTAGCCGACCCGATAAGGGAATGGCGATTGGCGTGCGCCTCTGGTGACCAATATTTCTCCATTTGCCAAGCAACTGCTGCGTCAGTGGTGGGTGCTGGGTTGGTTCTTCGGTTTGCCGGTGCTCTTCGTCTCGAAATCAACTACTGCGTGCCTCTTGCAGGTTCACTCCTATTCCGCGGCGCCGTGTGCCCTACACACCTGCCCAAGCCTGGTTTTCAGATGGGATTTGGGGTGAACTACTCTTAGTTGATCTCTCTTAGTCCTTTCAAACAGTCGAATTTAGTAAATTTAAAATGAATTGTTATAAAATCTACCAGTAGCCGGTGGGCAAGGTGCTTTTCTCTTATCGAGTATTTCTTCCTGTGTGGAGTGTCAGGGTGATTAAAAGTTAGCTTTTGTGAATTTGAATGCTTATGTGGTGTTTGATTTGGGTTAGAAAATAGGGGGACGTCGGTTTTTCACATTAAAAGTGTGTGAGGAAGGGAAGGTCGTGTACACCTTCCGCTTGAATTCTTTTCAGGAGTGTATAGACGAGACAAGGAATGTCTGCTTATCTTTGATCTACAACTCTTGGTAACTACTAGGAGGTCAGGCACATAAATGGGTATAGAGATGACGAAAAGGTGGACGGGATGAGGAGCTTGTCTAAAAGAGGGAAGTTAACCCGGGTCATAGCTCCTTTTTGAAGTTATGAGTGAGGCGTTGGCATTCAGGGACAATTGCTGATTCGATGCTATGGGGTAGGATATGAACGAGAGGAGTGAATTTAGGAGTAGTCAAGTATCTGAACAGGACTTGCAGCATGCACCCAGTTGACTTGTAGCCGGTAGGTGTATTATGCTACTGCTAGCATATCCGGGATATGATGACACTTGCCGCTATTTTGGGCCATGAAAGGTACCGGAGGAAGTGACCGATTTGTAAATGAAGATTGCCAGAAATACAAGCTGAACTAGTTAGGAAGAGGTTGTTGATCATAATCGTGAGTGCGACCATCCTTGCGTCGTTTATGCTGCCGCGGTGAGGTCACCAACCTAGGTGACTCTTGTATCTGAATTCCCATCGGTTAAAAGAAATTTAAAGTACCCCAAAAAATAATTTCAAATGCAGATAATAGATAGGTAAGTATATTTCTAAATTTCCGTTAATTTGATGGGCCTGAAATCATGCCAGTATGTTAAAAAATTTGGAATAGCAACTCTGAATAAAAAATGACGAAATGAAAGTTGCGTTACAGTAAAATGAATGACAATTGTTGCCGAATACTTTATATGTACACGACAATTTAACGAATCCGCGGCGGACGGGTATTTAAGTACGGACCAAGCGGATGGATTGGTAAAGGAACTGATTGGTGAAGTAATTTGTATGATGTCTTTACTGTCTATCGTGTGAAAACAACATCTCTTACACTTTGAATCCACAGTCATCACTGGTGGTGTAGAAGATGCAAAGAATGAGTTGTGCTAAGTGTACATGCGTCTCTCTACCAAAATTATACCTTGTGTGTAGCACTCCGAGACATCCCTGAAAGTGGAAGAGTACACAGTGCTCAAATAAAATATATTTATACGCTTTAGTGGGTAAAGCTTTGGGGGGGTACTGACACGGCTCGAACAACAGCTCACTTGGTAAATGGCCAAGACTCGAGGTGGCTCTTTACCGAAAACAAGAGCCAAACAACCAACTAATGTATTATAAAACCTCCTTCCCCCCTTAATCTTCGTCCCAGACACTCCTTTTTGGTCGGCCTCCTGCGTCAGTTGCTGAAAAGTAATTGGTGCTGAAGGAATTACACTCTCGAGCCGATCGTACCAGTCATCAAATATATATGCAACTAAGCAGGCACGTCACCGCAATGGCACTAATCACTCTCGGCAATTCCGCTTGATCCGGAGCTTTGTCTAGTTTGGAAGCTGGATTTTGGGACAAGGAATTGTGCTAATCAACAGGCGCATCTACAGCTAGATGTAGAAAACACTGGCAATATTGTTGTCATTTCGGTTCTGCTTGGCCATATCGATCGGGTCTCTATTCATCGTCATTATTATCTTCCTTGCAGAAATCGAAGATAGAAGTCAGTTTCGGCCCTTCTGCTTAAAGTCGTTACTGATTCTCACATTTGTAGCACGTCCACCTCTTCCGCCCTAGTGAGATTTATTACTTCTGGGCAGAAATCAGGGTAGGTACAATTTAAGGCAAGATTTACTTTCCTTTGCCAAAATTGCAGCAGCCCGAGACTTTACTGCAGCCAAAAGAGTACAAAGTTACTTGCATAGCCTGGAGGCCAGCCCATTCGACTAAGGCACAATCACTAAGGAATAAAGTAGCCCTTTGCCAAATGCAATTTTAAGCATGCAATTAAAGTAATGGAGCGTGAGTCAGGCCTCTCAACTGCATCCACATGCGGATTGTCTAAGTTGGCTTGCGTCAACATACGGCCTTCGCTCTTACCGCCTGTGTCACTAACTGCATCAAATCAACCATCCGTAAGAAAGATTTTCACTTTAATCCCTTAAGGAAAACTGTCAGATGTCCTGGGCTTCAAAGGTACTTACACTCGCGCTCCCCTACATTCACCACCGTGCATCCATCACCACAACGCAGTCAATGCATGATCACACAGGTGTTTTCAACAATGACATCTCTGTTGTAGGTCGCTTGCCCAAAAGCGAAGGCAGCGAATCTTCATCGTCGTCTACCCCGCTTGTCTTTGTATTTCCACGTCTCTCTTGCTTTGTTGTAGGTCTGCATATAAGGTGAAGATTCGTAGAGTTGTGTGGATGCATAGCTAGATTTCAAACGCTAACTAAGAGAGCGGATGCGGTACCGTCCAATGGCAGAAATACCGTTGCCAGATCCATAAGGTTCGTTTACTAGTCAAAAATATCAGCAAAATCACGACGGAAGCAGCCGATATGATCATGATAGACATTACCAGAGAGGTTTAATGCATCAAAACATGCTGAACTCCCAAATTGTCAGCTACTTTGCTGAGAGTAAATAATCACCTTTGCCCAATAATTTGGCAGTATTTTAAAAAATCAAATGACAAGAATAGTCTTTCTGCCAGCAGGACTTTACGTTGTCATCTCTTATGTGCGAATTAGTGTAGAATGCTTCCATAGTTTTTGCCCCCACGCTTGATAACGCGGACTGCTCTTAGGCACCATAGCCTGGTCTCCAATTCATGCTATTGCCCTCTTTAGTCTTCTGTACACCAGAAGATCGTGTTTTAAATAATACGATGCAAAATCGAAACAAAGGATTTTACTTTAAAGGCCGCAGTCTAAAGCTAAATAGTATAAAATCTCTCCACAATAAAGAAGTGTCACTTTATCAAATTAAAGGATCTCAACACCATTTTCCAAACCGAAAGCGAAATATTACAGTTGGTCTAACAGTTATTTATCAATGTATCCTTTTTTAAGAATTTTCTAATACTGCAACCTATAGCAGTACTGATGCTATTGCCGGCCGTGGCGCTTCTTTAAAACCGTGGGTACTCTGCCTGTCATCTCCCAGGTTATCGTCGTAATTGTTTTGTGTTTTTACCTTACTTTGAGGGTAAATCTTGGTCCGTCATGTAAACTTTCTAATTTTTGCTTCCCTTCATCTTAAATACTGGTATTATCTAGCGATAATTCCAATTTTTCGATGTTTCCTATTTCTATTCAGGTTTTTCTGATTACACTTAACTGATACCTTTCACCTTCACTATGTTGACTTGTTCCAATTTGTGCCTGATTTAAGAACTAGACCTGGCATTTATAATCTATTTTATTTGACTTCACTCATACTGCGCATCGATTTTCTAACCTTGTATAGGTGCGAAATGAGTCGCCTTCCACGCTCAGTAAAAATCGTTGGTACGTACTTATCCTCCTGTTATTTTGGCCTTTTCATTGATTATTTATCACTCTCTTCCTCTCTTACTTTCAGTTCATGATGGGAGAAATTTGGATTACCGCGTGGCAGGAAGTAAAAAGTGTAGGGCTCTCTTTTCGCCTTTACGGCATTTTCGCTAATAGCTCCACAGACTCGTAGGTGGCGCGTGATTTTTATCGGTGGAGAAAAAAAGCAAGCTACTGGGATCGTTGATGAGCAGGATGGCTTCCCACGATGGGATTGTGAAGTGCTAATGTGAGTGCTAGTGCACGGGAAAATGCATCGCGTTGTGTCATGTGATTCTCTGTTAAGCGTGAGTGTGTTGCAGGGTCGTGCAATAGCCCGATTTATTTTTACTAGGCACATATTATCGCGTCAGCTGAGTTCTCATTGATTGCTTTTTTAATATAATTTCCTCACCTTTCATCCTTGTGCATCCTCACCTTGTTTCCAGTCATTTTTTAACTTGAGCGTGGGTAATGGCTAATTTATTTCTCGCTTACACATTTGTTCACAAATCATTTCAACTATCCACTAATTTATTTGTCTTTTTCATTCTTCTGTTCACCTCATTTATTACTTCGTCCCACTGTCGCATCACTGACCGACCCATCCATTTGTCCGCCTGTATACATAAGTACACTAATGAGCAACTTCTCTTATTCAATTTAAAGCGTCACACCTAAGCCTGTGGACAGCGTGCGAATGCTGGTGGTGGACGGGAAGGAGCGCGAAGTTGGCCAAGTAATCATCTTGCTGACTGAATTGCCCTGGCCGCCGGCGCCACCACCATCTCTTGTGACTTCGCAGCTGCACGTCCGCGAACTCCAACCGACCAAGCACAACCCCATCCCCTGTGGCCAGCTTTCCTTTTGGATATGGGTCCTCGACTACTGGCCAGAGGGCACGATCCCAATGGCTGCATCGGGGTCAACGCACTCTAAACACGGCACACCTCGTGGATCGCTATCCTTCAAGGCACAACAGCAGTAAGGAAAATGTACTATCTGCTTATAATCCCTCTAAACAGTATTAGTGATGCTTGGTTAAGTTCATATTTCCCACACCTTTTTCCCCATTCGTTAATTGCCTCACTGCGTAGGGGGAGATTAGATGTGGCTTCAGCACTTCCTCTGTTGTGCGTCTCAGTGGACTACCTTCATTCTATAAAGTATAGACGTGGTAACCAGCCAACGAAATCGGGATAGTTGCTCAACAGTGTTGCTCCCCGAGTCCTCCTCTTATTGCGAATCCATGACGAAAACTGGTGTGTGCTAATAGAAATGTAATGTGGCAGTACGCCACACTGCCATTACTGTATAATGGATTTCAAACGACGATAGACCAGTCACTTATGTCACCAATTTAAGCAGCGTAATTACTCACCACATCTTTCAGTGATTTCACAATGACACCTCCTACTGGCGACAGTCACTCTCGTTTGGGGGCCAAGCTCCGCAACATGAAGAATCGCGTACAGGGTCGTGGTGACAACGGTAGCTACGTCTCCTCTGCTACGCGCCAATCTCGATTGACAGAAGAACAGCAACCACAAGCAGAAGAAGGCTCTGTAATCATGGGAGCTTCGATAATCTCTTCTCATCCGGGTCTTGGGCCCATGGGTTGGGCGACTGGAGCTTCGGATTTGACCGGAGGTATCCTAGACGGAGGGGGAGGAGGCAGTGAATCAAATCTGCTTTCAAATGGCGTCGCTGGTAGGGGGATTGGGGCGGGGACCAAGTCCTACAACCCACTTGCGTCGCAGGATGAAGAAGACAGCGGTCGAATGGAGAGAAAACTAGGACGGACGCCCTCGCTGTTTGCAGGAGAGGCTTCAACAACACCAACTCTTAATGGAAGGACGGGAGATGGACAGAATCCTGTATCAACTCATGGTGAAGGTGAGTGTCTATCTTTCGTCATATGTGCTGATACGATCGTGGCAAAGTGCTCCTTTAGCTTAGCATCTGCAGCATTCGAATATTCCGTACCCGTCAAACGCGAAAAGTGTCTTGATGGTGCCCACCGTGTGATAACTTCAAAAAACTGCCAGTGTTACTGAGTGACGGAGCTAACCGTTTCTAAGGAGGGATTCATTTTTTAATGCTACCTTACGTCACTGCGAGAAGTTTTACGTCGATCAGACGTTCAGAACTAGGCAGGAGTCCCACACTTACGAACTGTTCACAGGAGTGTGCGACTGCTGTGTTGTGCACCGAGAGCGTAACCATCATCACCGAAAACGGCAATGACGTACGCACGCCGACGTACGTCCATCTGTGTTGAAGGCGTCGACATCATTCAATCTACCGTCTTGCTGCTCAGTGGCTAAGTACTTCGTCGTTCTGCTGTGCTCCCAGAGTCTTTAGTAAACACGAGTTGGTATCCATGGTGTCGGATTTTACGCCTTTATTCACACAGGTACATCTTCAGCACCACACGCTGCTCACTCATTCACCCACCCACCCACCCACCCACTCATTAACATTGTTGTCTGCCACCTTGATTAGCAATGGTATTTTGATCGGACCACTCCACTGGCCTCCGTAACGCGTGCCTGCTGCTGAGGGCAGTGGGGGTGGTATGACAGGAGCACTTACTGCTTACTACGGCTGGTAGCAGTAGCATTGCCGCTTTATCTTCTCAGACCTCGTGTCATGTTGATATCATTAATACTTCACAATTGAACTCTGTGCAGGTCACCACAAGCCCCCTGTAGTCCCATTGGTCCGCCCAAGGTCATTCCGACTTAGCTACCAGCCAGCGTCTTGTCGACACCTCTTTGTTATTTTACATGTCTAGATAACAAAAAGGGTAGTGAAGATGACAGAAAGGAAGGAGGATGCCTTCTTTTAATCAAATTTTGCACAAATCTTCGGTTGTTTGCGTATATGGGAGGGGCGATTAAGGGAATGCAAATATTGGCCTGTGGCACATGAGCCGTCAAAAACAACCTGCCAATCTTTCTTTGTCTTATGCTTGCTTGGTGTACCCGTTCCACTGTCACTGTTTGACAGGTGCGATTGATTAAGCAGTTTAGTTGGTTGGTTAATAACTTTACGAGACCAGTCGTCATGCGCATGCTCGACTGGATCGTTCAATATGCGGAGAGGTATGCCAAGAAGTTTTACCCAATTTGTAGGCGAGTATTGCCTTTGAGTGAGTGCCAGGCCTCATCACTCTGCCATCTGCATAATCACAGGGTCAGTGGCAGCAGTGTGTGATGGGGTGAGACAGAAGAAGTGTGCGTTGTGTTGTTGTGACAGTGTATTGTGGAGCTGAGTGGAATGCGAACAGTGACTGTAAGATAGGCGGTAGTAGATTGTTAGGTCGGCAGTAGGTGAATGAAGGAAGGGGGAAAGAGGAATGAGGGTATGGAGGTGTGAGTGGGTAGCAGGATGGTGGGAAGTGGGATAGACGGAGGGTCATTTTCAGCCATGACGGTAGATTCGACCGTCAAGTGCATCATCAACCAGTACCACATTTCAGCTCTCGATCGAATCACATTTGAATTCTTCTAGAATGCGTTGTTATTACATCTATACAAAGCGTTAGAACTAATCGCCGTCAATTTGATAACTCGTGTCTTTTCATTCGCGATCCTTTTCCACATAGAAGGCAAGAATATTTCAGGTGCAGTTTAAATTCATCTTTTCCTCTGGGGCAGCTCCCATTTCGCGTTTTTCCTTCCTTTATTTCTTGCCACTGTACTTCCGTTGTTTAGCTAAGTTTCCGGACCATGTGGCTGGCCTGGGTGGTGTAGCGCTCTTGCGGGCACGAAGTTTGTCCTGTTTTAGGTAAATCATGGCCTCAGGGGGGGGGAGAGGGATGCCACGTTCACCTTGAGCTTCACTGCTCCCCCTCCCCTTGTCAGTCTTGTGTTCTTCCACATCAACTGTAGGCTTGATTGCTCTCATCTAGTGGTCGTGGTTGTATCTGAATGGGGGTTCGACGAACTCGGCAATTTCGTCGCTCGTCTCGAAGTCACTGCAGCTGAGGTGACTGATCCAATTGATTGACGGCCCAGAAGAGGAAGAATTGGACTTGTGGGTGGACGGTCAGAGCATGAGTGCGCCTGGAGATGGATAGGTGGTTTGGGGAGGAAGTGATAGTTCGCGAGTGGGGACAGGTAAAGAGACCGACGGTACCGAAGTGGATGTATACGTGTCAGGGAGAGGTAAGTCACTTGGTGGGTTGTTCCATGAAGCAGAACTTTGTGAACCGAAAGCTGGATTGGGGATGTATTTGGGGACGCCGAAGGAAGGGATAGCTCAAATTTGGTTGGAGGCGTGAATTGACGGACGAATGTGGGAGGGATAGATGGGTTGTGAGAGATGTTTTGGTGGATGGAGGGGCGAGTGAGTAGGTGGTTTAGAATTGCTGCCAGTCTGCCTGCCTGCTAAAGAGCATCTCTTCCTCCCCTCAAGTGATGCTGCCAAAGAAGATGCAAATACCAAATGCGAGTCGACAGGGTTCGTTTACTTGACCCCATTCGCCGTTTATCGCGACTTCTGTTAAATCACTTTTCGTCATCTCGTTGCTCCACACGGAAAGCCACTTGCTGATTCTCAAATCGCCTGCCCATTTCCTCTTCAACTGATCACTTTTCCCTTGCATTTCAATTGACCAATCTATCTAACGCCACATCTAATTCCATTGATATCTTGATGTCTACAATCTGTCATAGCAATCCGCACACACACACATCTGTGGCAGTGGCGCTGATTTTCTTGATTTTTTTTCCAATAATCAGTAGCTTTTTATCCTTTCCACGTTTACTCTCCCACATCCTTTTTCTTTCCACTGTCAATGTAGGTAAAAGTCGTCGCAAAGTGATGGTGGAGCATTTGCGCAACAAGATATCTCGCAGCAGTGCCAATATCAGCGAACTTGGCCACAAGATACGCTCTCGACGCTCCAGGTATGTGCTTGCGACCCAATGAGCCATCTACTGAAATGCCTTTTAAGTAGCATCGTCCATTCAGATTGTTTTTTTGTTTGTATAGCCCCGATGGCAGCCGGTGCGAGCAGGAGTGTAAAGGTGAGAAGCGACGTCTTTCCTTCTGCTTTTTGTTTTTCTTTTAAGTTACCTGATTT